GTACACGCGCAAACCAAGCGCTGTCAACGTCAACTTGGGATTGCAGCCTCGATCAAGATGCATTGCCATCTCGCGAAGAACTGCGCCGCCATCAGCGCCTTCTAGCATGTTCCCATACCTTGAGAAACGAAGGCTGAGACTGTCATCGGATTCGCTACGATTGTGCTTCCCAGAAGTTCTGACATTTATCAGCGCGCGCCCCCCTTCAATCGAACGCTCAGCACGTGGCCCGGACTTCAGTGAAGCGGTGAAGATCTGCAGGTTGGCCAAGTGATGCAAGTCCTGGCCGTCGATGAACTCTTGTGCTTCACTCCTCAGGGGTTCGGCTTTCAATCGGCGGATTCGCTGGCGAGTGCATGTCGAAGCCAAACGCTGCCGCGTAGCCCGCTGCTGAACTGCAGAATCATGGCGGGCGCGTGCGAATAGGAGGCAGGGCGGCTCCGTGCACGAGCAGAGCTTCAAAGAGAGTTGCAACATCAAGACAGCCCTGCCTCTCTCAAACCATCGCATCAATTCCCCCATGCTCGGGTGCATCCAATTTACGCGGTAATTCTGCTGCCGGGATCGTGACTGCCACCTGGCTGAGATTGCGTAAATGCTGGAAGAAGTCACCTGATGCCGATTCGCAAATGCGCATGTCTCTAAGAGGGCAAGCCTTCCAGCGGCTCAAACGATTCGCGTCGGCCAAGTCCTCTGTCTTCGCAGCCGCAGACCGCAAGTGGCCATGGCAAGGGCAGTGCTCCGCACACGCGAGTGCATGTCGGATCACATCGTGCAAGCGGTCGAAAACCATGATCTTGCCGCGCCATAGGCATGAGGAAATACATTTGTCAAGCTCCAAAATGTCCTTGCTCTCCTTCGGCTTAGGCCTCCGAACTCCGCGACAAGCAATTGCCGTGAACCGTTGGAGGAGCCAGCAAGTTACGAGGGGGCGATGCAGATCCAAGATCTGTCTGCAACAAAATGCGACTGTCCCCCAACGCTCCTTGTGAACGCTGCCTTGGAAGCTCTTGAGGTTCTTCTGGATATGAGATAACGCTGGGCCAAAAAAAAACAACTCTCGATGCGTCTTGACTGCGAGAACTCATGCTGCAGACACCGGGCGACCGCATCGAGACTGTCAACAGCTTCATCATGACCAGGGCAGCACGACGCAAGATCCTGCCCAATGTTATGGATCATATGTAGAAGCCCTGGCGCACCAAGTGGGTTTCGAATGCTGAGAGGCGCGTCTCCGCCATGGCCATCGTCGCACTGCAGCCCCTGGTCAAATTCACCCCCCAAGTGGTGCATCCATGGGAACAGATCGATTGCCTTGACTGGTCATACAGTTGACAAGTGGAACTCCGTGCCAAAATCCGTAGGCCCAACAAAGAGGTCATCCAGGAAGCGCTAGAGGTTGTCCATCGACTTCCCTGAGACCAACCCCATGGCATACACGACTGCAAAAACTTATGCGGCAATGACGTGCCTCCTGAGCTCAGCGTTGTTGGAAGGCAATGCTCGCGCCCCAGAGCAGTCCGTAAGCCCTCCATCCACTCAAACTCTGTTTCGTTCACCTCGTCGTCGTCTATGGCATCTAATGTTGATGATTTCCGAGCCGGAATCAAGTATTGAGCGGTTGTTAGTGCTTCAAAAGCTTGGCATTTGGGAATCGACGTGATGTGGACCAACTGAAACTCTCTCCCACGCTGCATCGACGCGTCTGTCATAAAAAAAGCGAATGCAACCTTTATCTCCAGAGTCTGCAGCATCAATGTCACGGCCGTGCAAGAGCATGGTGCCGTCGATGAGCAACCTCCACCAGGATATCGTACTCTTGTGCAATCGCATTGCTTTGTTCTTCTCCACATATTCCCTGACACAATCAACCATGGAAGCCGGCAGAGCGACGTTCAGGGCCAGCATGATGGCTTTAAACATGGTTGAACTGTGCCGTAGAAGGTCGCACATCATGAAACACTTGATCATGTAAAGAGGCTTGCTGTGCTGCGAGCCCAGGGTAGATTCAAACTCTTGATTGATTGCGAATAATGTTTGTATATGCCTCCTGACCTCGCATGGGTTCAATTGCCTCGCAACTGTGTTTAAAATACATATAGATCGCTCCAACGACGTGCGCTCTTCATCCTGTAACTCGTTCATTGGATCAAGACGTTCTGCCGCAATCCTCAGCTGGTCGCAAACCGTATGAATAAGACCAGATGACAAGCCGATGGCGCCGCCGGCGCCGCCTACAAGCATCCGCGGTGGAGGAAGTGGGTCCAAACCGAGTAAGTCCAGGCGTATTCGAAGCACTTTCACGTGCGGCAGCAGGAAATGTTTCCAATATCCCTTCGCACACAGAGCCGCATATGGAGCAGGCACCCGCACAATGATTCGTGGCATTCCATGGGGCCATACATGCTGAATACGGTCGAGTACACGTTCGGGTTGCCCCGCTTCCATTTCACATACGCAGCCGCGGAATATTTTCGTGCTGAACTGTTGGACGGGGACCAAGTCATCCAATGGCTGCAGTGCGTCGATACTAAATTGCAGTAGTTGTACGTCAGGGTTGATCGATTTCCAAAGCTCGAATGGTTCCCGCAAGTATCCGTCCATTCTGATCATTTGTGTGACCTGGCCAACAAAATGAATCAAGGCTGCAACGTATATCATGTTCGGCACGCGAGAGACCATGTCTCCGCACTGCTCCATACGTGTTGCCACAAACGGAGAAATCGCAGCTCTAGCTACATTGACATAGTTACGGCGTTCGCCGTATCTGAAAGCTTCCAATGTGGATGATAACCAGCAAAGGCTTGGTTCCATCAAAGCCCAAAACGGCTATGGACAGCCTCTGCGGCCGCGATGCAGGAGGCAGGGGGTGGGGAACGGAGGATTGGCTCGCGTTATGTTATGATGAGCCTCACCTGCATTATTTTCTTGTTGTGGTGCTGTGGTTTGTTATGACTTGCTTGTAAGCTGTGGTTCCAGGGGTTGGGGCCCAAGGGCCTCATGCTCAAGATGCCCTGAAACATGCCGTGCCTTCATTGCCGCCCTGGCGCCCTGGGCACCGAGGACGAGGAGGAATCTTGGCAGGAGGATGGAATAATGGAATTGCAAGAGGGGAAGGGATAGGGAACGTAGGAAGGAAGATAATGATGATAACCATGACAAGGAAAAGGATCGGATGAATCTACATACATTGTTTTCGTAGTTAACCAAACGTGTGGCGGCTGTCTGATAACAACTGCTATTAATTATTTTCAGAATGGCCTGGATTTCAAGACATGCCCCAAATCAGAACAATGACCTGTGTTTCAGGGGGTGCTGCAGCGTTTTCGTTTGGAACGTCGCCAAAACGACAAACTCGGCTCATCACCGATGGTCATGTGTCATCGGCGCTGAAAAACGCCTTATAGTTGCTTCTTTTGGGGCCTCTGAAGCGAAATGACGACAATGTCGAGTTATCGGTGCTGGGCAGACACGTTCTGTCTGTCCCCTCCGAGAACCCCTGGAATCAAGGGGCGTTGTCCCCGAGGCCCCTCCAACGACCTTTCGTGCAACTTAGCATCCTGGTCATCAGCCGCCCCCGCAACCGCTTCCCGCGAAGGTGTCGTGGTCCCGAGGACCTTCTGGCCAGTGGCGTCGGCCGAAGCTGCCACGCGGCCCGAGATGAAGTCACCGATGTCGGTTCGCTTCGCTCGCTGGGCCCTGACAGCGCCAGAGTCTGAGAGGACGACAGCATGGTCGCGATGCACCTAGGCGTCGCCAGCGTGAACATCGACCTCGTAGCCAAGATTGAGAGCCCCGACCGGTTCGCACGTCCAGGCTGAGCCCTTCCAACTCCGTGTCCTGAACCGGTCGCCTGAAACGGTGCACGCGCCGAACCTCTCGCGCCAGTCCGCGCGCGGGCCCAGCATGTCACACTCTCGCCTCGGCCGGCCTGCCGTCCGCGCCCCAGCACCTCAGGTCCTCCCTTCAGACGTCGCCGCCGGGGGGGGGCACGAACCAGCAGCGTCCGCCCACGGGCCAGACCAACACCCGTTGGTGGGGGACGTCATCGCCGCTGTACCCCATGATGCACCGATTTTCCGGCAGCGACCTACGCACCCACTCCGCCACTGCGTCGCGTCCGGGCGCAAGGCGGCGGCGAACGGCTGCTGGCGTGGCCGACGCCATCCTCCACGTCCGTTGGCGGTGTTTTGACCCGCGGCCACGGCGTCGCAGCCTCCGCATGGCGCCTCCCAGCGTCTGCGCCGTCGCCGACCCGATCGCCGCCGCGATCAGCGCCCCGCACGACGACTCGGGCACCTGGTCGGGCCGGCACGTCTCGCCACGCGGTACCTCAGGACACGACGCGCCGGCTGGAGGCGGGGGCGGAGGCGGCGGCGGCGAAGGGGCCGGTACCAGCGCAGGCGCTCGCCCCATCCAGGCCCAGCCGCGCGACATCGAGCAGCAACACCGCCCAGGCCGGGACCGCTCCGCCGCCGAGGTTCATCCACTGGCGGCCCACGTTCAAACAACTCAAAGCTTTATACTATGGATCGTATGCAGACGGGGACAAACAAAAACCTGGGAGCGGCACGTGCGAATCCAGAAAATCATTCTCGTGCAGTGCACAGTAATCATCCACACCATCATCATCATCCTCCTTATCATCATCATCATCCTCATCATCATCATCCTCCTCATCATCATCTCATTGACACAATAATCACAAGCATCACCATCACCATCACCATCATAATCATTATGAGCATGGTTACGATCATGCGCATGATCATGGTGATGATGATCATCATCATAGTCGTCGTCGTCACCACCATCAGCATCATCAGCATCGTCGGCAGCCTCATCGTCACCCCGCAAGCAACACTATGATTACATCCGCATCGTATGGCCATCTTCCTTTTTCCCTCCGCTCCCTTCTCTCTCTCTCTCTCCTTCTCCTTCTTCCTTGTCCTTCCGCCCTCCGTACTGCGGGCCGACCCCGTCGGAAGAGTGCTTGCCGCCTTGCGTCCCTTCTCCAAGAACAATTCCGCCTGCTCTCGCGCCTGCGCGCGCCACGCGCCGATCCACACTCGACCTCATTTGAAATGCAAAAGATCACAAACAAAAACTGATGACCGTCATCATCGCCGTCGTCGCGATTCTTCTGAACGTTCCTCTTCCCCCGTCCGTTTCATCCTCCTCCTCCTCATGTTCCTCCCCTCTCTCCTCAGGACACCTGGTGCGACTCATTGGTATCATGCTTTTCTCCTCAATTCATACACGTCTTGTTCCTACTCCGCTTACTCCCACCACCATTCCAGTGTCCAGCCTCGACCGTATCCCTTCCCCGACCTCCTAACCTTCTTCGTCGTCATCAAAGACGCTCTCATCATCCTGATCCTCCTCCTCCTCCTCCTCATCGTCATCCGCATCAGCATCATCATCATCATCAGAAACACCATCAGCAACAACATCATCCTCTACATGGCCATCATCATCGTCGTCATCCTCAACAACAGCAACACCATCCTCATTATCTACCCTCACCTCCCTCCAGCGTTTCAGAACCTTCTTCCTTCCACTCCTCCACCTCCAACTTCTTCCAGAGCCCCCTCCTCCTGCGCAGCATAGTTATCAATGTAACCAGATAATCACCATTACCATCACAAACAACATCAACATCAAGATACTTACCATAGGTTTTATCACTCGTCATCGTCATTGTCAGTGTCTTCGTCATCGTGGTCATGTTCACCAGCACCCCCATGGTCATCCTATCCATTACCCGTATGCCCTTCACCATCACCGTCACCATTACTTAAAACACCGTCATAATCATCATCGACGTCATCATCATCATCGTCATCAAATTCATCTTCAAGGTTTTCGTCCGACACATCCCTTGCCGAATTCATCCGTTAGAGCCACAGCCATGATAATGAGAACTATATCATCATAATCCTTGTGAATATCATCACCACCATCGCCGATGTAACCTTATTCTCATCATGAACACGAGTTACCTCCTCACCCGTCGTCACCACTACCATGATCGTTGTCATCTCTCACTCTTCAACTGTCCCCGCCTTTCCCCTCCTCATTGTCAATCCTACACATGATCCGACCGTATCATCATCCTGCCACATCCTGCCCACCGCACCTCCTCTTCCTCCCGGTCCTCGTCCTCCTTGTCCTCGTATTCGTCCTCCCAACCGCCCCACAACCACACCAACATGCCTCCTGCCTCAGACATCTGATGGTGAATTCCTCCGCATAATCCTCGTCATGCTATTGTCTCCTCGTCCTCGTCCTTCAGCACACGCTCCTCCTCATCACTCTCACCACCGTCATCATCATCATCATCATCATCATCATCATCATCATCATCATCATCATCATTATCATCACCAGCATTGTCATCATCATCATTATCATCATCAGCATCATAAACATCGTCATCGCCATCGCCATCGTCATCGTCATCATCAGCGTCGCGGCGTGATCGTCGTCGCTGTCGTCGACCTCACCATTATCATTTTCATCAACATAGTCGTTGTCGTCGCCATCAACATCATCAACAACAAGCATCATCATGATCGTCATCGTCATCGTCATTCTCATCATACAATCCGGGCGCGGCCTCAAGAAACCCTTTCAAGAAACCCGACCCTGAACACCCGCGCGCAAGGTGCACCTAATGGTAGACCCAGAGCACCCTGAGCGCAACAGCTTTTTCAACGGCTGCGGGAAGTCTCCGCGCAGCTCGTGGCGAGAACACACCCAGGATACCCTGACGAAACGCAGATAGTTTCTTGATGCGCGCCCCCACTGTACACATCAGTATCATCAACATCATCATCATCATCGTCATCATCACCTACATCATCAACAGCACCAAGCACATCATGACCATGATCATAACCATCGTCCCAAACGTCCTTACCATCATCAGACATGCCCTCGTCCTCCTCCTCCTCCTCATCATCATCATCGTCCTCATCAGCATCATCATAATCGCCATCATCATTGTCATCAGCATCATCACCATCATCATCATCATCATCATCATCACCAGCATCATCATCTTCATCATCATCATCAGCAACAACATCAGCATCATCATCATCATCATCATCATCATCATCATTGTCGTCGCCGTCATCCTCATCAGCAACATCATCATCATCCTCCTTATCGTCATCCTCAGCATCATCAGTACCACCAGTATCATTGTCATCATGACCACTCTCATCATCAGAATTACCATCATCAGCATCAACAGCAACATCATAATCACCATTGCCGTCGTAGTCATCATCACGGTCATTGTCATCGTCATTGTCACGATGCTCGTTACCATCACCATCATCACCACCATCGCCATCATCAGCATCACCAACATCGGTATCACCATCGTCATAACTACCACCACCACAACCATCACCATCACCATCCTTGCCATCACCATCTCCGTCACCATCACCATCATCATGATCATGATCATGACCATGATCATGCTCATGATCACCATGATCATCTTCACTATCAACCTTCCCATCGTCATCGTCATCGACCCGAAGCGGAGTCGAGCGACCGCCAGGGGTCTCCGCGGAGGTCTCGTTCCCCTCGGGCAAAAACGGGGAAGGGGGCCTCTTTGCCCCTCGTGTCCTCCTCTTCGGCTGCCTCCTCCTCTCGACCTCCCGCCTCTGAGGAATGCGCAGCCGCTGCAGGCAGTGATGCCTAGGGCGGCCTTTGCCCGATCGGGGCTCCTCCCTCCCTCGCAGGCTCGCGCGAGCCTCGCCTACAGGTCGGTGAGCCCCTCAGTGCTACACACATATTCCTGGACGCCGGGGCTCGTCGCCACGCGGCCGCGGCTGCAGGTCCGGCCCTCCCGAGGCGGCTCGCGGCCGCCGAGGCCCCAGCCCCGCCCGTGCCGCTGCCGTCCCCTCGCGCCGCCCCCGAAGGCGGCGGCGGTCCGGCAGCGGCAGCGGCGTTCGCAGACGGGCACGTTCTGCACGAGGCGCACGGCTTCGGGCACTGCTGGCGGTACAACTTCGGCAAAGTCCGCTCTCTCGGGGAAGTGTGCAACGGGTTGTTGAAGGGCCTAGCAAGCTCTGGGAGAGCCTGGCGGATCGGCCTGACTCTGCAAGGTGTGCACCCCGCCAGCGAGGCACCCCTCCCCGACTAGATTGCTTGCTTGTCCGCGTGGCGCCCGCGCTCCCAGTCGCCGTACACTGCGTGCTGCGCGCAGGCTGTCTCCACCAAATCGTCATCGTCGTCGTCATCTTCATTGTCATCCCCATTGTCATCATACTCATCGTAACCATGTCCATCGTAGTCCTAAACAAAATCATCATCATAAATCCCCTCCTGCTCCTCCTCATCCTCCTCTTCACCCTCCCCCCCCCCTCCTCCTCCTCCTTCTCCTCCTCCTCCTCCTCCTCCTCCTCCTCATCATCATCATCATCATCATCATCATCATCATGAGCATCATCATCATCACCATCACCATCACCAACAGCATCGTCATCATCATCGTCCTCATCACCATTGCAATCATCACCATCACTATCACAATCACCATCACCGCCACCACCATCTTCATCACAATCACCATCACAATCGTCACAACCCGTAATACCCCTTATCGAACTCATTCGTCAGTGTCACATGCATGATCATGAGAAGCATCCGATCCTCGTCAACATCACCACTACCACCGCATCCTCCTTCTCCTCCTCCTCACCACCACCACCATCATCCTTATCGTCATCATCGTCTGCCTCCTCCAAATGCTTCCAGACCCACCCATGCCTCAACCCCTCTTCCAGGGCCTGCCGGTCGCACTTGGTCAGGAACGCCATGGCCGTCTCCTCTGGCACCTCCCAGGCGGGCAAGAAGGATGGGAGGAGTGGAGGAGGGGGGGGGGCAAGAACTCCGACGGACGCCGTGATGCGGAGGGGGGGGGGGCGGGGCTGGGGAACCGACGCTCCCACCGCCGACGACCGAAGACCGCATGTCTGCCCAAGGCCCCATGTGCACTGCTGTTGGGGCCTGGCAAGGTGCTGGAGGGTCGTGTCTGGCACGGGTCCAGCTCCTCCCTCATCCCTTACCGCCTTGCTTTTCTTTTCTGGAGCCCCGTTCCTCCTCCTGTTCCTCCCTCCTCCTCCTCATCCTCCCTCCTCCTCTTCCACCTCTTCCACCTCTTCCACCTGCTCCTCCTCAACCAGTCCGTAGCCATGTTGACTCAAGCTGTTCTGCGCTCGAGCATTTGAGTTTTGCGCGCGCGAACTTCAGAACAGCCTGCGTGTGCGAGCTCCTCCTCACTCCTCCTCACTCCCCCTATCATCGTCGGCATAACCACCATGCCCCTCGTTCGTACTTGCATTCCTTAATCCAGGCGACCAGTTCGTCGACGCAGTCTGAGCATTATCCTATCTCGCTCTGAGCTCTGATTGATTCATCTCGCTGAACCTCATCTTTGGATGCATCCTCCTCGTCCTATATCCCGCGTTCCTCCTCCTCTTCCTCCTCTTCGCCCCCCCCTCCACCTCGCCGCCCTGCACCCCTTCAGGAACAGTGGAGGCGAGAGAGGGAAGAAGAGGAAGGACGGATTCGGTGATCAGCTACGTCGAGAGACCCATAGCCCCTTGACCCCATCTGCGAAGGCGGACCTTGGCCTTCAGTCCAGCGATGGCCTCGCGGTAGGTGGCCTCCGCGGCCTCGGGAGCGCGAGCAACATGGGAAGGGAGCAAGCTGGGTGGAGGACGACAGAGGGACTCCAGCTCTCCACACACCTCGATTCTGCCCGTTTCAATCGTGACCCCAGGATTGGTCAGGGAAAGGCTTACGCACCAATCCTGGGCAAAGAGTGGGCGCGGCCCATATCAATGTATGTGGGCAATTCGATGGAATTCACGGGTTGACGGGATATACCAGAACGAGAGTTGTTTGTCTGGGCCGTTTGCCCGTGCACGCTTCCGCGCAAACACGGCAAAGATCTCTGTTCCGATTTATGCGCCGAAGAGAAATGGGCCAACCAAAACGCACCCCGCCGCAGTCGACAAGTAGATGCACCCGTTTATAAGAGGATCATGCTGATGTGTCTCACCAGAATAATAACAGGAAGGGGACGGAGCAATGATACACATACATATATATATATATATATAGAGAGAGAGAGAGAGAGAGAGAGCCAGACAGAGCAAGGGAGAGAGAGAGAGAGAGAGAGAAACACAAAAACAGCAAAACAAACAACAATTATCTGGGCGAACGGCCCACCCATATGACGCTGCGGGTACTGCGAGGCAAGTGAGAAGACCTGGGGGCGAGGGGTGTGCCGACATGGGGCAGCTGCGCCATGCCGACGTGGGGCAGCTGCGCCATGCTGACCCTGAAACTCGGGCCTTGGATGGAGCTCCCTATGGGGCCACGGCACGTGTGAGGGGTGAGCCGGATCGGATGCGGGCACGCCGTGCGGACCCTGCCGCTGGGCCTTCGGCGGAGCTCCCTATGAGGCCAGGGCACGTGTGAGGGGTGTGTCGAATCAGTTGCGGGTGCGCCATGCGGACCCTGTCGCTGTGGCCCTCGGTGGAGCTCCCTTCGGGGCTGCGAAGCGTGTGAGGGGCGTGCCGAATACGGTGCGGGTGCGCCATGCAAACCCTGCCGCCGGGGCCCTCGGCAGAACTCCTTTACAAAGCGTGTGAGCGGTGTGCCGACTCGAGTGCGGATCCGCCATTCGGACCCTGCAGCTGGGGCCTTCGGTGGGGCTCCTCCTGGGGCCACGAAGCGTGTGAGGGGTGCGCTAAATCTAGTGCGGGTGCGCCATGCGGACCCTGCCGCTGGGGTTTTCGGTGAGGCTTCTTTCGGAGACACGAAACGTGTGAGGGGCGTGCCGGATCGGGTGTGGGTACGGCATGCAAGCCTTGCCGTTGGGGCCTTCGGTGGGGCTCCTCCTGGGGCCACGAAACGTGTGAGGAGCATGGGTGCGGGTAAGCCATGTTGTCCCTGCCGCTGCGGTTTGGTGGAGCTCCCGATGGGGCCACGAAGCGATTGTGGGGCGTGCCGAATAAGGTGCGGGTACGCCATGCGGACCCTGCCGCTGGGGCTTTCGGTGGAGTTCCCTGTGGGGCCACGAAACGTGTCAAGGGTGTATCAGATCGGATGCGTGTGTGCTATGCGGACCCTACCCCTGGGGCCTTCGGTGGATCTCCTCATGTGGCCACGATGTGTGTGTGTGTGTGTGAGGGGTGTGCCGAATCAGATGCGGGAGCGTCGTGCGGTCCCTGCCGCTGGGGCTTTCGATGGGGTTCCCTATGGGGCCACGAAGCGTGTCAAGGGTGTGCTGAATCCGGTGCGGGTACGCCATGCGGACCCTGCCGCTGGGACCTTCGGTGGTGCCCTCTATGGGGGCCACGAAGCGTGTGATGGGGTGTACCGAATCGACTGCGGGTATGCAATGCGGACCCTGCTGCTGGGCCAGTCGGTGAGGCCCCCTGTGGGGCCACGGAGCGTGTGAGGGGTGTGCCGAATCGGGTGCGGGTTCGCCATGCGGACCCTGCCGCTGGGGCCTTCGGTGGAGCTCCCCGTGGGGCCACGAATCGAGTGATGGGTGTGCAAAATCGGCTGCGAATGCGCCATGCGGACCCTGCCGTTGGGGCCTTCGGTAGAGCATTCAAGAGTCCACGAAACTTATGAAGGATGTGCCGAATCGGGTGCGGGTGCGCCATATGGGCCCTGCCGGTTTCGCCGTCGGTGGAGCTCCCTATGGGGCCACGAAATGTGTGAAGGGTCTGCCGAATCGGGTTGGGGTGCGCACGATGGTGATGAAATTGGGGCATATGCAGGGATGAAGGAAGAGGGGAGGGAGGAAGGAATGAAGGATGGAAGAAAGAAGTGCGGGGGCCGTCTCTTCGAAACGAGAATCCAACACCATAGGAAGGTTGTGGAAAAGGGAACGAACGAGAGAGATACAGAGAGAAAGAAAACAACAAAAACTGACAGAGACAGACCCAGGAGTATGGATCTGAACATACGTATATGTTTACACATACGTGTGAATACGTTTATATATATACACATATATATGTGTGTTTTTTGATTGGTCCAGGGATGGTAGTCTCACGAGTATGCTGAAATGACACGTTGCACGACCGCGCACGCTGTACAATTTGTAACCGGATTGATCAACCATGTGCGCACGAGCCGGTGGGTCCTGTAATGACGGCCGCCGAACACGGGCTAAAGACAAATGTGCCTAGCCGGTGGGAATGACGGGCAAGCGGGCGAGATGATGGGAATGTCCAGCCTGCTGCGCCAATCTGCGGTGCTCGCGGTCTGCTCGGAGGTCAGTGGCTCGCGCGGCGGGGAGCGGCGGGCAGCGCGCCATGATCCAGTCTCGGCACTTTGGTCGCCGACTGTCGAAGGCGTCAGAGATCAAGCGGACTCGCCCCCGGAAATCTTTGCTGCATGCTGGGCAGACGGAAGAGGGAAGCCGGTCTTGGATCTCGAGGGTGGCGCCGTGCTTGGCTCTCTGATGACTGGCCAGAGCACGTTGCGAGCACAATGCCGCTCCACAGGAGCACGCAAAATGAGGGAGGTGCGGCGGCTGAGCTGCTGCTGCAACAAGGTCGCATACAGACGCCACGCACTGAATTATATCCACCATCGCTTTCCAAGGGCCCTAATCTTTGAGAAGGGTATCCGACGCGCTGGGGCCCGCCAGAACATCAGGAAAACCACCCGACAAGACCGGCCGCAACAACTCACGGTCGCGAGCCACTGCAGTGGCCCATCTAAGTGGTCGCCCCTGCGGTCGCGCTTACAAGAGGGCAACAAGCGCGCGGGCGATGCAACGCAATGCGGCAAATATATCGTAACTTCATCCGGGCGATCACGCACTCAGCGACCAGCTGGCCGAGCTTTTCGCAGATCTCGCGATCGGCGTGCTCCGCGCGACAGAAACGAGGCTCGTTGGCAGCGCGTCTTAGCATAGTCATATATGAACTGTTGACCCTGCGGAGCTGGCGAAGGGTGGGAATGAGCACCTCCACACCAAATAGAAGCCTGCTCAACAAGAGACATCGCATGAACATCAAGTTGCGCGGCGTCTGCACGTCGATGGAGCCGAACACCTTCCATGAGGGGGGGGGGCGTGCGACTGCAATGTGCGAGCGGCCTCTGTGTTGACGGCCGCCGTGCACGAGTCGCGGAGGGATGCGAACGTGCCCAGGTGCTTGCAAGACTCAACGACGCGCATGCACAAGTCGCGCTGAGGCAGGGGAATGTCCAACGCGCCGTCGTCTAGCCGACGAGCGTCGCACCGAGTCTTGGCGCCCCTGCCGCGATATACAAGCAGCGCTTTAGTCTCCCCCATAGCAAAATTGATGTTCAGGTGCAGCTTTTCGCAAACAGGGAAGACGATGAACAACGACTGGTCAATGTGCCGGTCTAGGTCCTCGGCTGACTGCGCAACTATAGCCAAGGCCTCGCCGCCAATGAAAGCTGCGCCCAAAACATGGCGCGACGATGCTGCCGGCGCACCCAGCGCGCTCCAAAAAGCACCGCCGGGGACCTTCAACCCGAGGGGGATGCCAGCGCGTTTGGCCCCCCACGCAGTCATGTCCAGCGCAATCCCGTGCGCGCCGTTGTCGGTCAGAGCTCCGAGCTTACATCCTTGCCGGCCTCTGGTCGGGCTCGCGACGCGCGCCGGCAGATCCGCCACTGCCGCCCGCGCGCCTTCGCGCAGCGTCCCCATCATGGCGGAAGTTGCGGCGTCGAGGCCCCGTTGCTGCACTGGCGGGCCCCGCTCGTCAAAGTGCTGGAGCATCCAGTCGGGAGCGTCTGGGGCGACCTAGAGATCAAGGAGGCTTTGGCGATGCTGGGAGCGCGGCACGCTGCTCCGCCCGTAAATCAGCCGGCGAATGACACGGTCGACAGCTTTGGTGAGGTCCATGAACAGCACCAGGATGCAGGGCTTGGCCTGCGCAGCGTAATCGATCATCGAGTGGATGACGTGAGAAGCCATATAAATTCCTCTCTTCGGTATGGCTCCGAATTGGGGTTCCGGTCGATGCTCAATGTAGGCTTGGTTGGCGTCTTCCTACAGAATTCCAGCGCGGCCTTTGCCGGCGTGGTCCGCGAGGAAGATGCCCCGGCAATCGTTGGTCTCGCACTGGCCCCCCTTCCTCTTGAACGCCCCTTGCGAACGTCCACCGCGCCGCTGAAACGGCCGCGCGCTGGTCTGGAGCGCGCGCTGGTTCACGGCAGCGCACTTGGTGGCAAGCGCGGATTCGCCTGCTTGAAGCAGCTCGCCGGGACTGCCATCGTAACCGACCCCCTTGTTGCGCCCGAGAGCTCGGTAGGCAATTCGGGTGGCCTCGGGGCCGACATCGAGGCTCGAGGTCAAACCGAGGTTGCTGCCCGGCTCCGGTCGAAGAGCTGAGCGTGGAACGACTTGTCCTTGGAAGACCGTGGCGATGCGCTGCTGCAACACCTCCTTCACCTCCGCGGTTGTGTTGGTGAGATGGCCATCGCCGCGGCGCAGGCAATGTCTCGGCTTGGAGGCGCGAGCGCCCAGAGCACGGAGCACGGCAAAGGCCTGGCGAATGTCTGCACGATCAAGTGTGGAAAAAATGCTGCCCGCCATGCTGCCCAGATACGCCTGGCGGTCATCGTCGACGATTGGATGGACAGTATTCTGCAACGAGAATATGGCGGCAGTGACGTTGGCTTCGCCACGAAATTCACGGCGGGTGTCTGCCCAGAGGCCCGTGGAACACGGAAATGGGACAGCGAGAGCGGGCGCGTGCTCCTTCCACGAGTGCCAGGCCATAACGAAAAAAACACTGTCGGCGGCGGACGGTGATTCGATGACGGGAACGGCGCAAGGGTGCGATATGCTGAACTATCTCCCAGGCGCGCGGGCTGAGCCACGCTTGTCGCGGTCGGTGCGCCGGCGGGCCAAAGCAATGCGCGGCCGCCCAGCGCGCCCACGAGTTCAGGAGCTCAACGCGGCCATCTGGGTGCACGGCCTCAGGTTCTTCAGGAAAGCGCCACATCAACTGCTGAAAAGCGTCGCGCAGACAGGCGTCTTGAAGTCTGCACTTGTTCTCGGAGATACGCTTCGCGATGCAGGCGCTCACGGGTTGAACCGGAAGCATCGCGTGCATAGCTACGACGTTGTGGTCTTCCTTGGCGTTCAGCGTGAAGTCCACATCATAATTCGGCTCGCACTGCACAATTCCGCGAAATACGAAAGCCGATACTGCAATGCAGTCGATGCGATGCGCGGTGCCGAAAGTCGATGTCCAAGTGTGGCCTCCAGGGCCCCATGTGTTGGCCAGCTTCAAATGGGATTGCTCCGAAAATGTACGAAGACTAATGCCATTGGCATTATCCTTCTCTGTGCGGCTCGGTCCACACGAGGACGGAGTGGAGTCAACTCGGCCGTTGGCGTCAAGAAGCACGATCCATGGAATAGCGTATTTGCCAGAGACGGTGTGCATGAGAGCCGACAGGTCCGCCCACCATTGTAGACGGGTGCTCTCATGAGACATGGTGTGAGGAAAATGCGCAACAAAAAAAACAACCTCGTGTCCAGGAAGGGCGACGACCACGTACAAAATCCGAGGGGAGAATCGATGCCAGAACTGTATGTGCCAGCCGTGCTTTACCCTGCGCTGGACGCCAAGGGAGCCGTCAGGCGCGGCAGCAGCAGCCAGCATGGTGTAGTGTTGGCCTTCGGTCTGCTCCGAGCTCTGCAAACGACCCTCCTGCACGCCGATCGCGTCGTACTGGCAGTCGTGGAACTGCTTCTCGGATAATGTAGTTTTGGCGCGCATGCACACTCCACTCACTCGGGCGTGAGACGTGGAGATCTCCTTGGGGTGGAGAGTCAGCACGTTGGCGGTGGCGCACCGTAGGCGGATGGTGGAAAGCGTAGCGGATGTCACTTCCGGCCCTCCCCCTCCGCGGCGTTCCGGGAAAAAATCGGGGTCGTAGTGCGGCTCCGCTTGGACTTCGCTTGAAACTTCGTCACAAACCTTTTCCCGGGCTGCTTGCCGTTCAAGCGGGTCCGTGAGACAGGAGGTGGAGGTTGCTTGCCGTTCGCACGCATGCGGACGCACGCAGGTGGGACGCCTGTTCCAGGGTGCTCTGGAACCTGGCCAAGATCTCGGAGGACTGGGCCTTCGCCTCCGCCACCGCCTCCGGCCCTATGGAGCCGCACTGGGCCAACTGCTCGATTGCAGAGTGTAGCTGGGCCGCCAGCTCGTCCATTGTGGAGCGAGGGCCTTCGGTGTGGGCCGGAATCTGGGCCTCCAGAGCCTGCGCGTCCTCCTGGAGCTTGGACACCTCGCTTTTGGCCGCATCCACCTCTCGCTGGGCAAGCAGGCTTGGCCTTGGCACGATCCAGCGCAGCACGAACACCATCGAGCCGCTTGCCGAGGGGCGAAGATCGCCAAGTTCCTTCCGCCGCAAGTCGAGCTGGTGCTGGACCTGCTTGCGGGCGTCCTCGAGGCCCGGGCACTCCACTCCGGGATGGCCGCCAAGGCGACCTCCAACTGCTTGACCGATTCCACGAGCTGCGCACGCTTAGCTGGGTTGGTCTCCACCTGAGGCGTGGCTGGGGGCGCCCCTGGTGGGGAGCCCACGGACGCCGCGCACGCCGCCGTCGCAGGGGAGGGGAGGGGAGTCACCCCAGCAGCCTGCGAGAGCTTCTCGGCAACCACCTGGAGCTGCTGAGACACGTTGTTGCTCATGGGTTTCACCGTGGACGCGTTCGTGTTCGGCCAAGGCACAGGTTTTGGCTGGTTGGCCGATTTCGCCGCGTCGGCCCATGAGCGACGCATCCCACAAGTGGTGCATGCATTTTTCGTATGGTTGCTGGTCTGGCAGCCTGAGCAGACCCACACGCGAGGCGGCTGACGCTGTGGCGAGCGGGCGCCCACGTAGTGCCAGTTGCCTGATGGGTCCCTCTTCCACTCGGAGGTGGAAGGTGATGAGGAAGAACGTGAACCCTTTCCAGACCATGAGCCCCATTGCGCCATGAGTCAGCACCCTGCTGAAACGGGACACAATCAAGACGGTGCGGAAGAGCTGAGGGTTAGCTGGAAGCTGGATGTAGTCTCACAATTGCCTCAAGCTGTGGTTTGAGCCTCACGCTGTGGCTTGAGCCTCAAGCTGTGGCTTGAGCCTCAAGCTGTGGCTTGCGCCAACATGGATACGGATATATACATGTATATATATATACACAGATATAGATGTATCTATCTGGGCCGGCCCTGTCGGCGTGTGTGAGGGGCTTGTCCGTTCAAGTCGTCATCTCCGTCATTCGTTGGTCGTCGTCTCTGTCGTCCCCTTTCCCTGCCTCCTCCTGTCCCTGGGCTCGTCGAAGCTCCCCCCGTATCCAGGGACCTCCTCAGCGCGCCAACCAAACCGAAGTTGAGCAACGTCGTCATTGAGTCGAAGGGAAGCCCCTTCCCTTCGATCCCTTCCCCGCCAAGGGGGGGGTCCTGGGGAAGGGGTCAGATACGACGCCAACCCGGGGAGTCCCGGAGCCCAAAATAGCCCCAAGACGGGCCAAGAGTGCCCCAAGAGGCCCCAAAGACAGTCCAAGAGAACCCCGAATCGCCGAACGATCTGTCCAAGACGCCTTGACGGCCTCCAGACGGCCCAAGAGGCCTGCAAAGCGCCCCAAGAAGCCTCCAGGAGCTTTCCCACGAGAGCCACAAGCGGCAACATCCATGGACTTCCAATACGTTTTTAACAAATTTTGGCGTTCTTGCCTCTTCCGCTTCCCGACGCGCCAAGACGGCCCAAGAGGCCCCCAAGACCGCCCCGAGACGGCCCAAGAGGTCCCAAAGAGGGTCCCCTAACGGCCGAAGAGGGCCCCAAGACGGCCCAAGACGCCTCCAAGACGGCCCAAGAGGACCCCAAGATTGCCCCAAGACAGCCCAGGAGAGCCCCACATTGCCCAGGAGGCCTCCAAAAGTGCCTCGAGACGGCGCAAGAGGAGCCCTGGACGGCCCAAGACGGCCTGAAGAGAGCTCCAGGCTGTCCCAAGAAAGCCTCTTGCCTCCTCCTCTTCCTCCTCCTCCTCGTCCTCCTCCTCCTCCCTCCTCCCCCTCCGCTCCCCCTCCTCCTGCTCACCTCTGCCTCCTTCTCCTCCTCTTGCTTCTCCTCCACATCCTTCTCCCTCCTCCTCCTCCCTCATCCACCTCCCCCACCCTTCCTCCACCTCCCACTCATCCTCCTCCCCCTGCCCCCCCTCGTTTTCATCTTCGTCGTTCTCAGGGTCGGCGGCGCTGGCCGTCAGGCCTTCGCAATATAGACATATATACATACATACATACATGCATGCATGCATGCATGCATGCATGCATGCATACATATGCATGCATGCATGCATGCATATATACATACATACGTACGTACGTACGTACGTACGTACGTACGTACGTACGTACGTACGTACATTACATACATACATACATACATACATACATACATACATACATACATACATACATACATACATACATACATACATACATACATACATGTATCTGCGAACATGTATCATCTACCCCAAAACCACGCGCGTTTCGCGCGCGGTTCGGTTCTAGCATGATCTAAGTGTAATATAATATGTTCGGCATCAGAAGACATATGTATATATATGTATATACATATATATATGTATATATATATATATATTGTGACATGGACCGTGCCTCTCAGGGTGCTTCACCTGTCCCCCGCCCATGTCGGCACACCCCTCACAGGGATCGCGCCCCACAGGGAGCTCCACCCACGTCTCCAGAGACGGGGTTCGCAGAATGGCACGCCACTCAGATGGATTAAGCCCCGCAAGTGGTTGAATGTGTGGCACCAAAAGGAAGCTTCATAGCGTCGTCCAACTCACTTCGGCACACCTCTCACACGGGTCGTGGCCCGCAACAAGATCCACGGATGGCCCCAGAGACAAGGATCGCATCCCGCCTCCCCGCCTACTTCGGCATACCTCTCACACGGGTCGTGGCACACAGGGATCTCCACCTACGGCCCCAAGAGGCAGGATTCGCACTGCGCCCCTCTGGCCATTGCGGCAGACCCCATCAAGCAGATCGTGCCTACAAGGAATACCACTTAAAGGCCCAGAGACAAAATTCGTCTAACGCTCCCCCGCCCATGTCGGCACACCCGTCACGCGAATCATTACCCAAAATGAGCTCCACCTATGGCACCAATGGGCAGCTTCGCATGGTGTCCCCCCGCCCATCTCGGAACATGCCTCGCACGGGTCGTGCACGGAGGAGGTCCACCTGCGGCCTCAGTGGGAGTGTTCGCGCGGGGGCATCCGAATTATTCGGCACACCCTTCACGCGGATCGTGCCCCACAAAGAGTTCAGTGCACATGTGCACGCGTGCTCCGCAGCAGCCATCTTTCCGCGGTACTCCGCGGCGCGCAGAGTATGAAGACAGGTCCGAGCTCTGCGCTACACATGACTGCACAAGGGTGGGTCCGTCGCTAAACAAATTGTTTGCTTGAAGGACGGAACAATTTTGGCCTCCTGGTGCCCTCCCGAATCTTAGAGCCTTCGCAAAGCGTGTTCGGGGACTCTTAAACCGTCTTATACCGGCGTCTTTGAGCCTGTCAGGCCAGTCTGGTTGCTTTTTGGCAGCCTCTGGAAGTATTTGAACGGCGGGGGGGAGGCCCAGGAGGCTCCCGAAAAAGGAATCAATAATGTCGCGGGCCAAAAGGGGGTGAAATCCTGAAGCGTGTCTGGGCTCTGTTTTGGTCTTTCTCCTCCTCCTCCTCTTCTTCCTCGTTCTCGTCCTCTTCGTCCTCTTCGTCGGCGTCCTCCTTAATCCCCTCCTCCTCCTCTTCCTCCTCCTCCTCCTGCTCATCCTTCTCCTCCTCCTCCTCCTCCAACTCCTCCTCCTCCTCCTCCTCCTCCTCCTCCTCCTCTTCCACCTCCTCCTCCTCCCTTCCTTCTACACGTGACATGTGGGGACCTCCGGGGACCTCTTGAGGGCCGCGCAGACGAGGGGCGGTTGTAAGCAGCACCCTCGACACCGAGTCCACTTGGAGTGGGGCGGCGGGCTTAGAGGAACACTGCTTGGGGTCCACGCTGGCAAAATACACATGTATATAGAAATATAGACACAGCTAGAGAGGGAGAGAAAGAGAACGAGAGAAAGAGAGAGAGAGAGAAAGAGAGAGACAGAGAGAGAGAGAGAGACACAGAGCTAGAGACAGACACACTGATAGAGACAGAGACAGAAACTGAGGGAGAGAAAAGGACAAAATGAGGTGAAGGGATGAGCAGCATGATAATGAGCATGCGGGAAGGAGGAGGCGGAGGAGGGGGAGGAGGAAGGGAACGAGGAAAATGAAGATGATGATGATGATGATGATGATGATGAGGAGGAGGAGGAGGAGGAGGAGGAGGAGGAGGAGGAGGCTGACGAGGAGGAGAGTTTGATGACAAATCGCATGCGAGGAGGGGGGGGAGGAGGGAGAAAAATATGGGAGAGCACGCCCACCTCGAACTCTTCGGACAAAGCCTTTGCTCGATCATCGTGGGCCTGGTTCCGCTTGGCAGCGTCGATCAGGTGCCTCTCGAACTTGTCCTGGCGGGCAGGGGATGTGGACGAGAGAGAGGAGATTGAGGAGGGTGGAGGGAGAAAAGCACTTGCCGAGTGGCCCGTGGGTGGGAGAAGGAAGTGGTAGAGCAAGGGAAACGATCAGGGTGAGGAGAAAGGAAAGGAGGAGCAGCAGGTGCGAGGAGAAGGAGGGGCGGCATGGTGGAAGGAGGGTAATCCGCCGACCCCTTGGGGATCATCGGCGTGTGAGATGCTTCCCCCTCCCCAAACCCCTCCCCCGGGAGCCCGGTCCGGTCGATTTGGGGGGGGGGGGGGTCCGGGACGAGCGCTCCACGGGGCTTTTCCTGGCCCAAGAGGGCTTCAAGACGGGCCACGAAGCCCCCAAGAGGCCTCCAAGACGGCCCACGAAGGCTCCGAGAAGCCAAACGACCGCTCCAAGACGCCCACGATGGCCCCAAGACGGGCCAAGAGGTCTCCAAGACGGCCCCTGAGGTCCCAAATGAGCCTCCCAAGAGGGCCCAAAGAGTCAAACATTGCTGATTTTCCAGAGTGTTTTTCGATGTTTTTTGCTTTTCCGCCTTTCCGGCTTCCCGACGCTCCAAGACGGGCAAAGAGGCCCCAAAGATAGCCCCAAGATGGCCCAAGAGGCCCCCAAGACGGCCTCCAGACGGCCCAAGACGGCCCCAAGACGGCCCAAGAGGTCCCCAAGACGGCCCAAGAGGGCTCCAAGACGGCACCACGAGGGGCCCAAGAGGGCGACCAAACATGTTGAAACTCTAGCTTTCTGCCCCCAGGAGCCCCAGGGGGCCCCAAGAGTGCCCCAAGAGGCCCCCAGAGGCCCTCACGAGGCCGCCCAGACGCCCCAAGGAACCCCCAAGAAGCACCCCAGAGGCTCCGAAACGGCCCCCGAGTGGCTCCAAAACTCGCAGTGTCGCTGTCCGCTCGGACCTCCCCGCGGAACTGCCCGAGACCCTCTGGCGGTGGCGGCGAACAGACACCAAACAAATATCACTCGCCTTTTCACCCCTTCGCAGCTTCTACTACCCCCAGATTGGCATAAACAAGGGGTCGGCGGTGTGGCGTAAGCCTAAGAATCAAAGGGGGGAAGTAGGGGATAATAGGGGGGTGGGAGGGGGAAGGGAGGCGGAAGGCGAAAAGAAACCTGATCGGACAAGAACGGGAAGCGCCGATTGTGTCCGTTGGGCTCGTAGGGGGAAAAGAGACATTGCGTTGAGGCCAATGTACATGTACAAACACACACACACACACACGAGAAAAAGACACCGATCACCACGATCGCGCTCTAGAACGAGCAAGCGGAAACATTTGCAACAGCACGCGCTGGCAGTTCGTGCACGGCAGCGGCACCACTCGGCGAATCATCAGCAAGGTCGGCATGTGCAATTTTGGGTGCGGCAGGCAGCGGTCCAACCCGCTCGAATTGCCAGTCCATCGTGGTCTCCAATTGCCTTTGCGAGGGCTGATCAGCCCTCCGTCGCGAGCACGCGCAGAGTAATTGCCGGCGTCAATGGCAACACCGGCAGAGGGGGAAGGACCCCAACGCGCATCGTCCGAAACGGGCAACTCGAAACCCTCGTCAAATTCTGGAATCCCGCGAAGTCACCGTAGACCGGTCCACGCCGTCGAGCATACGCCCTCGACGCTGCCCTGCGGCGAGCAACGCAGCATATGCGACGCTGCGCTACATTCATCTTGTATTTGTTGTCGATCGGAACATACTCAGGCTGGGGGCCCCGTGAAACGGAATTTAGATTCGTCCGCTTTTGCATCGTCCGCTTCTGTTTCGTCCGCTTTCATTTGGTCCGTTTTTGTTTCTTCCGCTTGTGTTTCGTTCGCTTTTGTTTCGTCCGATTTATATTTCGTCCGCTTTTGTTTCATCCGCTTCTGTTTCGTCCGCTTCTGCATCGTCCGCTTTGGTTTCGTCCGCTTTTGTTTCGTCCGCGTCGGTTTCGTCCACCCTTGCTTTTCGCGATTCGTGTGGGCGCTGGGGGGGTGAAAACCAACTGAATTTAATCCGGGCGCATGCAAACCGGACGAATTCAAACTGGGCGAATGAAAACCAAATGAATTCAAGCCGGACGAATTACAACCGGATGAATTCAAACGGGCGAATTTCCACCGGGTGGATTTAAACCGAGCGAATAAAAACCGGATGAATTTTCACGGACGAATTAAAAGACTTATGAACTTATACCCGGCGAATTAAAATCGGGTGAGTTTAAACTAGGCTAATTAAAACCGGATGCAACTAAACCAGGGAAATTAACAACATGTATTTAAATTGGTGCGCGTGAGAAGTGTTTTGAGCGATTGCGCTGCGCAACAATTGTTTTCGCTCTCTTTGGACACATGGATGTCGCGATATGCCAAGCGTGGCACTTGGGCACCACGGGGCAAGAATCTTTACAATTGCCGCTTCCCGCTCGGGGCAAGCATTCCTGAGCCTGGTTTGCCCGGTGAGCCCCAGCAACAGGCGAGCCACCCGTAACCAATAAGCCTCGAAGAGCCGGTCACCAGCAAGCCCAGGTAAGAATGTGTTTCGGTCTCGTTGTTGCTTTGCCGCCCCCCCCACTCTGCGAGGCCGCCCTTGTCCGGAGACAATTCCCGAGACTCCTCCTCCCCCTATTCCTCTTCTGCCCCCTCCGTTCCTTCCCCTTCTTCCCTACCCCTCGTCCTCCTCCTCAATCCTCCTCCTCCTCCTTCTCCTTCTCCTTCTCCTCTTCCCCCTCTCCCTTATCCTTCTCCCCATTCGCCCTGCTCCTCCTCCTCCGCCTCCTCCTCCTCGTCCTCCTCCTCCTGCTCCTCCTCCTCCTCCTTTCCTTTTCCTTATAAAAAACTTCTTCCTGTCGCACCCCGAGGCCAGTTTTACACATTTGCAAGAGTTTCACGGACTGAGGGCGGTTCCTTTTCAAAATGTGGATCTCGCCTTAGCGCCGCGCATTCGTTTTAAACATTGGCAAACAGGTTGCGCATTTCCATGATCAGCGTACCAGAAATGGCTTCGGAAGGATTCAGGATTATGAGGGCACAGCAGTTACGTTGATTCGCGGCGTTGAAGACCAAAAGTGGCGTTCTGGTACAATTCAGGATCGTCAAGACGCAACAGTCAGGTTGATCCGTGGCGTTGAAATCCCGAGAACGATATATTGGCATGCGTCAGGGTCTTCAAACGGTTGTCTTCCAACGAAGCAGTTCCCTGAGTGGAAATGAACCCTTGTAGGGGCCTATGAAGAGGGAGCTTGGAGGGAGGGTTTATTCCAACATCGATGATGGATCTTGGGTTTACACTGGTCCTCCTCCTCCTCGTCCCCCTCGTCCTCCTCCTCTTCGGCGTCGGGCCCGGGCAGTGTCGCAGCAATCGCCCCCGCCGGGGCGGCTGTGCAGTCGGCCCCTGGGTCGCGGTCTGCTTGTCTCGGATCCTGATTCGTTTCTTCGTTTTCTTCGTTTTCTTGGCCCCTGGGTCGTGGCCCCGTTTTCTCTGGCCCCTGGTTCGTTTCCTCGTTTTCTCGGACCCTGGGTCGTGGTCTCGTTTTCTCGGACCCCGGAGTGCTTTTTCGTTTCCTATGACCCTAAGTCATGGCCCGCCCCGTTTGCTCTGACCCTGGTTCGTTTTCTCGTTTTCTCGGTCCCTGGGTCGTGGTCTCGTTTTCTCGGCCCCTGGGTCGTGGTACCGTTTCTTCGTTATCTCGGCCCCTGGGTCGTGGTTTCGTTTTCTCAGGCCATGGTTCGTTTTCTCGTGTTCTCGTTGTCTTGGCCCCTGCCTCGTAGTCTCGTTTTCTCGGACAATGGCTCGTTGTCTCGTTTTCTCGTTTTCTCTGCCCTTAGGTCGTGGTCTCATTTTCTCGGGTCCTGGTTCGTTTTCTAGTTTTCTCGGCCCCTGGGTCGTGGTCTCGTCTTCTCGGAGCCTGATCAGTGATCTCGTGGTCTCGGCCCTTTTCTCGGACCCTGGTTAGTCTTCTCGTTCTCTCGTTCTCTCGGCCCCTGGCTAGTTTTCTCTGTCTCTATCTCTCTCTCTCTCTCTCTTTTTCTCGGCCCCTGGGTTGTGGTCTCAATTTCTCTGACCCTGGTCCGCGTTCTCGTTATATCGGCCCCTGGATCGTGGTCTCGTCTTCTCGGCCCCTGGGTCGTGGTCTCGTTTTCTCGGGCCCTGGTTTGGTTTCTCGTGCTCTCGTTTTCTCGGCCCATGGATTCTGGTATTGTTTTTTCGGAACACGGTTCGTTTTCTCGTGTTCTCGTTGTCTCGGCCCCTGGGGAATGGTCCCTTCTTCTCGGGCCCTGGTTCGTTTCTCGTTGTCTCGTGTTCTGTCCCTGGGTCGTGGTCTCGTTTCCTTGGGCTCTGGTTAATTGTCTTGTTTTCTCGTTTTCTCTGCCCCTGGATGGTGGTCTCGTTTTCTGGGGCCCTGGTTCGTTTTACCGTGTTCTCGTTGTCTCATATCCTTGGTCGTGAACTCGTTCTCCTGGGCCCTGGTTCGGTTTCTCGTTTTCTCGGCACCTGGGTCGTGGTCTCGTTTTCTCGGACCGTGGATTTTCTCGGTTCCTGGGTCGTGGTCTCGTTTTTGCGGACCCTTCTTCGTTTTCTCGTTTTCTCGGCCCCTATGTCGTGGTCCCCTTTTCTCTGCCCCTGGGTCGTTTTCTCGTTTTCTCGGTTCCTGGATCGCGGTCTCGTTTTCTCACACTCTGGTTCGTTGTCTCGGTTTGTATGGTTTCTCAGAACCTGACTCGTTTTCTAATTGCATTGTTTTCTCGGCCCCTGGGTCGTGGCCTCGCTTTCTCTGACCCTGGTTCGTTGTCTCGTGTTCTCGGCCCGGGGTCGCGGCCTTGTCTTCTCGGACCCTGGTTCTTTTTCCCTGTTCCTCGTGTTCTCGGACCCTGGTCCGTTGTCTCGTGTTCTCGTTGTCTCTGCTCCTGGCTCGTGATCCCGATATTTCTGACCCTGGGTCGTTTTCTCGTTTTCGCGTTGTCTCGGCCCCTGGGTCGTGGTCTCGTTTTCTCGGACCCTGGTTCGT